ATGTTTCTCTACAGATTCTTTGGATTCGAATCAGTGAAGCTGTGATTCATATAAATTTCGTTCAGGCAAGAGATCTCGTCAGTGACTGCAATGGAGATGGCTTGGCACAATTGGCGATCGCCTGATCTGTACGCGGGGGGGGGAGATCTAATCTGATTTTCCTTTTGGCTGCGGAGTCCTTGCAGCGTCCTGGAGGAAATGTAGCGCAAAGTGACCAACACTTTCTGAGATGGACAGAAAACAACAAAACTGCTAACTAACACAATAGTGACCTTAAGCAAAAGCAAAGTCAAGCTCTTCTTGAACTCCTTCGTTCCTTGATAACTTAGGCAAATTACATGACCACAGAAACTGCATATGCTTCTCCATGTTATCGGGACGAATAGCTCAGCAATGCACCGTCTTGGGGTGATGAAGCGATTGCGTTTCTTTTGAGATGTTGTGAGGATAGCTTGAGCCAATCTTTGACATAATAAGAACAATAAATCGCCCAATATCCTGAAAAGGGGCAGCCCGGCGGGTGGTATACATTTCAAATGTTCGATGTTAGAAATCTCTCGGTCGAGAAACGCATCCCCGCATGTATCGAAACGTACCAGACTAGTCAGGCCAAGTGGAACAAGGGCCAACTGAAGCATCCAGCTAGAATGATTATATTTTTTTGAACAACGTATAACAAAAATACTGTCAGCGTGTCTGCAAATTCTTCTGTCTCTGAGGCGCTACGATGGGGAGTAGTGAAAGCATTTCCTAATATTACATGCTGACACCAGATTAAAACCTTTTTCAACAGCGAAGAATCATGCGGTCAATGCTGTTGGACTGGGTGGGCACACCATTCTTGTCAAACATATGATACCACTTCGTCACAATAGATGTTCTTCGTGGAAGATCGGTCGTCCATCTGAAATGGTCCTAGGCTATCAAGCGACAAGACAGAGTATTTGGTTTGATTGTTTAACCGTGATTACTGGAGAAAAGCATTTATTGTCTCATATGGAGATTCACCTCAATCTCGTAAAGTTATTCCCAAACGCAGCAAACGTTGGCGAAGAAGATGTAGGGCAACGGAAGATTACCAGCGCAATTTTTCTCAAGAATGGTTTGCCAACCTACGCTGCGGTCTTGCCTTTTTCGATCTAGAGCATCGCACCAGAAACTTGTTTCTGACATCCTCCTGAAAGTCTGTGGGAAACGTTTCGTGGTTTCTTACTGAGTATTTAGATAGCTTCGAGGGAATAATTGAACCTGCGAATCATTTGCGGAAGAACAATGCATACGGTATTACAAATTTCACAGCAAACAAAAAGAATACTGAACGAATCCAATCAATGAAACAATAAATTGGTCAATGTAAGAATGCAAAGACGTTCAAAGAAATACTTTGAGATGAGCTGTCAGATCAGAGCGTCCAAAGTGCAAAGTACACTAGATCGAAATATAAGGAGAAAGAAAACAGAGAACTGACTACTATACAATGCCAATTCTAGCGCTGAGACAGTTGACTATGCTTAAGAACTACCATTTTTCATCCATTTGCTGATCCTCTGTAAAACAAGAGGTGTCTACCATTAGGCTCCTACAGTCCCTCTTCCGTTAGTGTAACTTCGAAGCGTAAGATAATACCTCACTTAATATTACAATGCTCTTATTTCAGCTCTTAAAGCTTAATTTCAGCAACTGGCATCGTTTTTAATGCAATTGAGCAAGGTTGTGATTATTGGTATCTTTCTATTATACAAACAAATTTTATCTAATTCTTCAAGAATTTTAAAATTCCTTGTCAACTCATCGTGGTACAAGGGTAGCGACGAGTTCTCCAGATGACTTACAGTCGAGCTTCACGCCTGTGACATGTCAAGCTGCTGTGAAAGCTTGAGAAATATACTCGGACAAGTGGGAGAAGCAACACTCATCAGCTCGACAAGAGTGATGAGTTTTTACCACATCCTTCAAGATGAATTCACAATTGAGTCCATAGCCCTCGTTCTCATAGGCTGGATCTCCGTTTGACTAAGGAAGCAGCTGATTAGGCGTGAAGGTAGAGGGTTCCAAAGCACAACGGCAGATCAGTTATAGACGAAGCACGACTTCAACAAGCAAGAAGAGTGTAAGGCAATCAAGCGGGGGGTTGTAGAATTCAGCCAAGTTAAAAACGAAAGGAGGTGAGGCCGTCAGTGTTTAAAAGGTGACAATTCTTGTTATACATGGGATAGTGAGTTGAAGAACCTAAAAAATAGGGCTTATCATCTACAGAAGAATGAAAACAGTGTAGTTCAAGACGATAGCACTTCAGAAACTCATGCAAAACCGGTTCTGACAGCTTAAAAAGCAAAGAACTTCAAGCGATTGAAGCATATGCGCTAGCATCAAGCCGTTCTGGTGAAAAGACAGAGAATTTTTATGATGAAATAAAAATACATCAACATGGAAGAAGTCGTTACAAATTCGTCGTTCGTGATTTCAACGTTAAAATTGAACCACAGCAAAGAGATGAATGTTCCTTGGGTTGTCTTAGTTATGACATAGGTGACCGACTAGTGCAGTTTTCTGAAAATTACAAGATATTTATTATCAACACCTTTTTTCGGAAAATTCATACAACGTCAAGGATGAAATTTCATGAAGTACACAGTGCAAGATGTCACAATGTTGCTTAGAGAAATGTTGAAACTATCTTCGTAACACGATTATGAAGATCGACCAAAAATTAATGAATGAAATGGAAGCCTCATCAAAATTACTAGAAATTAAGGCCGCAACAGATCGGTAATCAAAGGATCTTTCTATTTTGCAAAACTTTTGAAACTCTTAAAAGAAAACGTAAGGGTTCTGTAGATTGACAAAGAAACCCACGAAAGAACCAGAGCATTGAGGAATTAAATCAAGGAATCAAGATTAGAAAAATAAAAGTTAAACTCTCAAATCAGAAGATGTTACTGTTTTCAGGAACAGGTATGAGATTCTACAGAGAATGGAAAATTTTTCTATAGAAATTTAGAGAAAGATGAAAAGTTAACTCTCAAATCACAAGATATTACTGTCGTCAGGAACAGGTGTGAGATTCTATAGAGAATGGAAAATATTTCTATAGAATTCTATAGAAAGATGAAAAAATTCGTGACACTAAGGAACCTGAAGGTACAAATGAACTTGACGAAACTTCGGATGTGCTGCCAAACGCAATGATACAGTCAAAACGAAGATAGGCTCCTGACAAAATGGCATTACAGTAGAACTGGTGGAATTCAGATGTGAAGCACTGACCAAGGCAGTGGTGTTCTTGTTTTCACGACATCTGAAGATACTGCAAATTCCAGATGATGGGGTGATTCCGTTCCGTAAAAACGGAGACACACAGGATTAAAGAACTACAGGATGATCAGTTTATTAGTAATCATACACAAGATCTTCATGAAGGTACTGATTGACAGATTTCAAAAAAAGCTGGACATAACACTGCCAATTGAACATGCATGATTCAGTTCAGATATGAATCTAGTGCGATTGATTTCCAGGCCTTACAGCAAATGATTCAGGCATTCAACGACTATCAGCTTCCTCGTTGCTTGGGGTTCGTCGATTTCTTTCTAAGTCTTTCGCCTTAGTCTACGTCTCTACGGTCCTGCACTCCTTGAGGAGCCAAGAAATCCAGAATACCTTGCTGATGCCAAGGATGCAAGTGTCAATGGTCATTCTCACGATCAAATAAACAATCCAAAATGGAAGTGTGCGTTAGACGGGGCGGGCACGATATGACCGAAGTTGTTAATTGCAACCCTAGAGGAGGTTATCAACGCGCTCATTAGAGAAAATCAGGAGGTGGAGATAAATTGGCACTAATTAGACCTTAGACGGTTTGTTTCGACGTTCTGGTTGTCCAAAGATCACCGGGAGAACTCCAAAAAACCAATAATTGAATGAGGTCATCAAAGTAGAACACTAAGCATTGAAGTGAACTGAAAGTAAACCTGAACAAGATTCAGGTCATGTTCAAGAAGTAAGTGACCGCGCGACCTGCTGAAGTCAATGGACTTATGCATTAAGTCGTGCAAAACTACGTATGTCTAGGGGGAACATTTCTGCAATGAAAACCACCCACGTGAAATCAACAGAAGAATAAAAATGGCCTAAATACTATTGGTAGACCGCCGATAAAGTTATCATCCAAGCAGCTGTTCTCGTGGTTAAAACGGAAGGTATTCTACAGTGTGTCCTTCCAGTATTTGCCTATGAATATGAAACCAGGCAGTAAGCATCAACGACATTCATAAATTGCGGAGTATGGAACGCAAGATGGAAAAATGAATTCAACAATGAAAAGAAAGGTCATTAAGACGAACGAATGAATAAGAACACAAAGAAGAGTCTGCGATGTCATCACCTGAGTGAAAAAATTAAAGTGGCGGTTTGGGGAACGCGTTGCTAGAAGCTCCAACCTCCGTTTGACCTCAGAGAGATCAAATTTGGTTTCCAGAGAGAGTAAACAGCTTGTAGGAAAACTTACAGATCAATGGCAGGATGAGCCACAGATGTTCGCTGGATCAACATGGCTGAAATTGTCGTATGTGCTGAAGTTTCAGCAAGGCCTTCATCCATCAACTGATTGACAAAGTATATATATCATAAGTTGACATATATCTTTAGGTAAGTCACAACCGGGAAGATAACGCATAAAATAGTCTTTAATTAGGGATATCTGACGTTTCGGACCAAGCTCGGTCCGTCTTCAGAGATGTCCCGAATTAAAGACTATTTTATGTGTTGTCTTCCCGGCTGTGACTTAGGCAAAGATTTTTTCACCTCCCGCATAAAGAAATCATGTACGATTTTCAAGGTGACATATATATATATATATATGACTATTGCATGTCTATGTGATTGTCTGTTAGCCAACCATATTATTTTGTTAAAAGCTGTTTTTGTGTATGTTTATTTTTCACACCGGAAGAATTCAGCAAAGTACACTGTTTAAGAGCGAAACAATGAGCCAGAAAAAATTACAATGTTATGCTGTTGGCCACTTTTGGCTTTGGTGGGCTCCATGCTTCGCTGGTTTCCAAGACGTTTTCTGAAATGCAACAAGCACTTTGAGTAAACCGATTAGTACAAAATTAATGTAATATAATTCGTTATTGATTCTGTGGCATGGTAAATTTTTATAGATTATTCTCTAATACTATGATTGATCTTCAGGATCCGTCTTCATAAACATCACAAGTTATTCTAAGACTGAGTATGTCAAAAAAGAATGACTCCTCTAAGGCCAAATTTCATTGCGTATTACACCTCGCCCTTGCTCATAGTTTCCTGAAACGGGAGGGTCAATTTAAGCAGGCCATGGTATTTGAGCTCTGGAAAGAATAGACACACTTTGCTTGATTCTGTCGGCTAGAGCCACCTGCGCTTATGACGAACGTGGTTTCAGGAGCTTATATTCTTTCTTCACATGGGATCGCACAAACATCATAAGTTGTTCTTACGCCAGAGTGAGTCAAATGACGAATGACTTGCCTGTTTTGGAACAGTTAAAAATTTACGCATAAACACCTATGTACTGATATGTAGCTCGTTCATGCGTTGAAACTTACTGTTGCACGGTATGTAGCACAGACGCGATTTGATAACGCATTTTTTGCGGTTCCGAAGCACCATCTTTCGGCCAAGACCGCAGTTCTTCTCTTCTTTGAAGGGTTCACACGTTTTCGGAGGCGGAACGCACTCCTGACCTAGTGATTCGTCGTCATACGGCGGCGTTTCTGAATACCTCACGTTGTTTCAGTACCTTGCTGTCCAACGGCCATCTCCTGAAACTCGTCCGTCTTCCTTTTCCGTGCCAGAATTGAGCCGACGCTGCAGACAAGAAGCAAAAGCGTCAACAG